CTCTTTTGCCTTAATTGCAACTTACCTCTCCCACATCATAGCGCATCCAAACAACGAGGGCGTATTTGGCCTGCAGATTTTTCTTCAATTGTTGACTTTCCATTTCAGGCGCATTAATATCGTCATAATCCCTGCAAACGATAGAGCGTGGGATGAGGCGGGAACTGGATCGGAAACAACACAGCCTTACCACCAAGTGTTGAGACCCATAATGACATTTATTGGTGGGAAGTGCCACCCTGACAGCGCTGAGGTCCACGCCCCGTCAAACGCCCTATCGTTTGCAGGGATCACGGAGAGACGGACAAGACAATCGTAATTTGTCGCGCAGTTGCGCGCAGCATATCAGCGTATGGCGATGCGCGGCGATTTCTCAATGTGCATTTTTTCCGAATGGAGCAACAAACTCATAAGAATTCAAGACAAAGCTCCAAGGCATGAGATATCAAATTTTTTCCCGTTTCTTTACCAATCGAAAAATCGGCCACGCAGGATAACTCGTCCGTCGAGCGCGACGCCCAGCTCCGCGTATTACGATTGTCACATACTCACGGCCGTACGTCGTCGCAGGTAGGACATCATGGCCCAAACTGTTCGTCACCTGTTGCAACCGGGTTATGCTGGAAGGACTGAAAGGACGAGAGGATATTGCTGGCATTACTATTAGGTCATCCCATTCAAAAGTGCCGATGGTTTTATTCGAATAAAACAAAGAGGAGAATAGATAAAAAAGTAATATTTTGGCTTCAAGTTAAGTAAATCCCTCCTTCACCAATGACCCGCTCCCAGTGCCCCGAAAGCCTTTGGACCTCTGGTACCTTCGATTTTTCAACAAGTGCGAGTAAATTGCTGTTGATGCCAATTTCGGCGAATGACAAAACAACTGCCATCGGAGAGTACCCTCGCCTGACCAGAACAGTTGGAACGGCTTTATGTTGAACGACTTCATGTTTGGGCGAATGATTGACAGGTCTCTGTTTTTTTGCGTCCCAGCACTGCTACAATGATTTACTCGGGGTCGTGGCCTATGACGAGCTTAATGATGGCGTTTCTTGTACCGTATTAGGTTGTCCGGAAAGTTCTCAGCGTTTTTGTATTACTATTTTTTGTACATTCATTGCTGATTGAAAACTCATTCTCCCTTGCGTTTCAGTAGTCCAATCCCATGAGAGAGAAAAATTGTTTGGCGCCTATCTGATGGTAATAACCGCCGTTCGACCCATTGCTTGTGAACCCTCTTTTTTTTAAAGCAGCGTCCGCGATCACCAAAGTTGAAAAACCCTCTCAATGAAGAACAGAACGCGGAGTTCGCACCACAAGTTGCAGAATATCCCACTCTTGCGGCTCGAAATGTATTGATTGACGAGGGCGGAGTCAACAAGGCTGAGCTGACGCCTCCTTCCCTGTTAATCCCGCCCCGACTGGTTAACAGTTATCAGTGCTTGCTGGCATTGATAAACGCTAAGTTTCTGGAGTTCCGAGCCGCGACGTGTATTGGAGAACTCACCAAAGGTCTGCGAAACTCGTCCACATGCCTTAAATTTCGTAGGGTCTTATTTCACGCTCTTCCACACCTTTTTCCTACTTTTTTTGATTAGTGCTTCATTGGCCACCTGTTCTAACAAATTTGACCCCTGAGACCTGCCAAAGTCCATCGCGGGCGCTGTCTTTTAAGATTTTTTCAAGCATGTGAAACAGGAAACTTCGGACGAGTTTTTTTTCCTTCAACAGAAAACTTGCTTCATCGCGCACCAGTCGAGACAGCTCGACAAATTAACCAGGTGTGGGGGCCAATAGTGTTGGAGAAAGCACTGTGCGGCAATGGTTCAACAAATTTCGTTCTGGAGATTTCAGCCTTGAAGATGAACCTCATAGCGGTCGACCTAAAGCAATATCTGACGAGGATTTCTAAGGCGTTTGTGAGGCTGAGCCGGCGCATTCAACATTCGATAGATTGCAGAAAAGCTAGGCGTTGGCATATCCACTGTTTACGATTGTCTGCAACGTTAGGGAGGTAACTAAAACTCGAAAGGCAGGTGCCGCCACAATTTTTCAGCGACGCGGCAGAAATTGGCACGTCTCGAGTTTCTTCTTCACTGCTTTTGCGCAACAGAAACGACCCTTTTTTGGACGAATTGTCACCTGTGATGAAAAGTGGATCAAATGTATGATAAGGAGACGTTCCGGACAGTGGTTGGATGCCGACGAACCACCGAGGCAATTTTCCAAAGCCGAATCCTCACGAAAAAAAGATTATGGTCACAGTGTGGTGGTCATCGGCTGGTGTGATCCACTATAACTTTTTGTCACCAGGCCAAACCATCACAGCAGAGTCCTACTGTGAAGAAATCGACGAAATGTACCGAAAATTGCGTCAGCTGCAGCCAGCACTTGTCAACAGAAGGGTCGATTCTTCTTCTGTCTTGTGTTCGCCCTCCGCACCACTTCCCTTCAGACACCTTCACTCCTACTACTTGTTTGTCAATCGCGCAAAATTTAATTCGGACGAGAGGGGGATCGGTTCAATGTCGCCTTGTCTCCTCGTCTAGTAATTCGGAGATAAGTTCCCTGAGAACCAGACGATTTCAGGACAATTGGCGATCGCAGAGCCTCTTTCCTCCTTCCCTCTTTTCCGTCCGCACTTTTCCTTCCCTTTGTCCTTACTTTCCTCCATTAATGGCTTTCAGTCATGACAAACGATGAGAAAGTGTCCCTAAACTTTTTAGAGATGTTTGGTTAACCTAACAGATGGCTGCGTTGTCTTCGCCCAGAAAATTGGAGTAATTAGGGTTGGTAAGCTACTGGACGGCTTACAGCCCATAGAATGTGTGCGATTGTTTATTGTTGATTTGTTTATTGTTTTCTTCATTCGATCGCTCAACTCTACTCAATCTTAACATTTTACTGAGAGGGGAATGTGTGCCTTGTATAGCTTCATTCCAGATGGAAATGAATCCATTCAGCGGAATGCCCTACAGTGAAAGGTACTGGCAGCTTCTGGAAAAGCGTCGTCAGCTTCCTATCTGGGAACACAAGGAAAAATTCATGAAAATGCTTGATGATAGTCAATGTAAGTCTGAAACTTGTGAAATATTTCGAAACCTCCATTGATAATCAAAGCGGACAAGTAGCCTTGAAGCGTCACCGTAATTCGGGAGTAGATGGGGAAGGACGCGGTGGAGCGTCGACATGCTTAGGCTGGGTTCATACTTCGCGACTCCACGTTCTTAGCGGAATGGATGGTATTGGTCGGTCGGCGCCCAAACGCCTATTTGCTGAGAACGCTGGTTATCCCAAAACGCCGAGTCGCAAAAAATGAACGCAGTCTTGATCTTCTCCCAAGGCTTAGCTGAGAGCAGACGACCAGAGTGGTGCTGCTTTGCCTTGCTAGCAGATAGCATATAGGCACTTTTGCAGCACAATGAAATTTTCCAACAAATCTTTGTAGAATTCTAATACCTAATAAATAAGTCTAATAACAATAAAACTTTGGAAGTTGTCTCCATTATTTGGCTATCTTCTGTGGCGATACCCAGAAACTTGTAGAGTATTTTCCCTTTTTTGACCTGCCAGAATACAAGGGTCAGACGTTAAATCAGTTAGGTTCTGCTGCGAGTACTGTGTAAGTAACACCACTTACAAGTCCGCCCAAGTAATTCTCCTAGGTAAACTTTTTTCGCGATTATCGGGCGATCATTGAGCTATTATGTCAACCATTGACTATGGTTGTGTCAGCTTACTAGTTCCATGGTTTATGAGGAAAGAAAAAATACATAGCAAAATAATGAATAAATCAATTCTTCGATATCAAACAATGTGAAACTCCAAAAGGTTTAGTGTCCAAAAAATCTCAAAAAAGACAGTAGACAGTCCTCAAAAATTCGTTGTAGCATCTATATCTTAACTTGCAATATTTTCGGTGCGTAGCACCTTCGTCAGGCCTGAAAATATTTAGCTTGTTTTGTTGGTTATACCTTCTACAAAGTGCAACCCGCACGGACCCCACCCCCACCAAGCCACTTACCAGTTGTCCCGAAATAAATGACCAACCCACCCATACATGCCCTTAAATAGTGGGATACTTGTGGCGCGATCACATTATCACTTGCATAATGTCACGTAGCTCTTCCCTGTTGTTTATTTCTGGTGAGAGCCGTTTTATTTCCAGAGCCTCCAATATTTTCCTTTCCATTGTGTTCTCCACTGAGCGGTGTAGCACTGTGATGGTTAATGAGGGGGTTCTTGGTGAGCGTGCTCATGTGTGCGATGCCTGGAGAAACTGCTATTGGGGGTAGGAAGGTGGATCTCGACCCACGCTCCATCGCCGTGTTCGTCGATCCTTTGTAGAGGGGGCCTCCCAGCTTTCTCCACATATTTTTGTCCGGCATCCTCCCTTGATGCTGGCATATTTTGTGAGTTGTTGCAGTAACTACAATGGGCCCTCCCCACATCGTATTTTCAAGTGAGGCCTGAAAAGGTAAGAAGACGGCTTGTTAACATTTGGGTGCGGACAAATATTAAACGTATCGGAAGTGGTGAGCACTTCACTATATTATTTACTTTTAAGGCTGTGTTTTCATTTAGGTAAGGTAACACCAAGGGAATTCCGTCCGGTGTCGAATGTGGTTTCCATGTGTGGGTGCGAGTTGCATTGTGATATGCCTTTAGAATTCTGTCCACACATCGAATTACTTCTGATGACTGGTTGACGGATGCAGATGCCTTTTCGCTTTGTGATCGAACTCAAATTCCGGACAACATTAGCCTTCATATATAGGGGGTGGCCACTTCCAGCGTGCAGCAACACATTGGGTGGGGTCCGTGCGGGTTGCACTTTGTAGAAGGTATAACCAACAAAACAAGCTAAATATTTTCAGGCCTGACGAAGGTGCTACGCACCGAAATATTGCAAGTTAAGATATATTATAACAAACTTTTGAGACTTTCACTGTCTTTTTGAGTTTTTTGGAATGAACTTTTGGAGTTTCACATTGTTGTTACACACTCAGATAAGAAATGAGACTCCGTCCGGACAGCAGCCAACCCAATATAATCAATCATAAATTGTCCCAGGGTGGGGGGGGGGGGGGGGGGGGGGGGCGTGATGTTTTCGTGTAACGCAAGTTCTTTAGAGCGCATTTTGACAAAGTACTCAATGTGATGAAAGAGCGCCAATTTCGTTGGGAGGGGGGGGGGGAAGCATGTCATTTCGGGCACTTTTTGCTACTGTACCGGTCGACATGTCAAGCCATGCTAGAGAGCTAACTCTGTGAGCTTACAATATATAACAGGCGTTTACCATGTGGTGGCTCTGCAAGCTCTCAAGCCTTCACAAGATTCACACGAAGTCTGTACCAAATATCACTTGGAAACCGAAACTTCCGCGAAGCAGGCGAAAGCGCAAATGCCCCCCCACCGAGGCCGAACTGGAGCTCTGATGCTGATAAGTTCCATACACTTTGTGAAAGACATTTGAAACTTCTGAAACCCAATTGATACTAGCCTGAAGGAAGGAACGGTGTATTCCAGGTTTGGTAAATATGAAGTCACAAAAACTAGAAGAAACTGTTTCACACATCGTCGCCGCGTCCCTCGGTGCGGTATAACCGCGACCGTGGCAATTTCGGAAAAACACTAGTGACCGCCGTGTGGGGCATTTTATCTGTATTGTGCCGGTCCACCGTGACAGTTCCTTATCTAGTAATTGCCCGCTTCAAGTCCAATAGCAGTGTAGCCTAACCAGGCGATTCTGAGAAGGAAACAAGATAATTGTGATCTTCGCAGGCGTGATTGTCGCCGGTGAACCTGGTACTGGGAAGACAACACAAGTGCCGCAGTGGTGTGCGGAGTACGCCCACCAGAAAGCCATCACCAACCAACCAAAGCTTGTAGCTTGTACTCAGAACGAGAAAAGCGGCAGCTGTATCAAGTTGGCGAAACCACGCGTCGCAGATGAAATGGATGTACAGGTGAGTTCCACTTTTCTTAACTTCAAATCTAGAAACCAAGGACTGGCTACCTGGCAAGTAGGGTGGTGTTGATTTCGTTTCAGCCGTCGTCAGCTGTAAAACCCTTTCTTAACGACTAGATTTTTCAAGTTGGGTCAGGAACTCGGCTATTCCATTCGTTTCGAGGACTGTACCAGTGCCAAAACTGTACTGAAATACTGTACGGATGGTATGTTTTACAGTTTGTTCAGTTTGCATGTGACAACAAAAAAAATAAAAAACATTTGGGTGCTTTAAATTACTTTCGGTATTAGTTACGCGAGACGACCTCACGCCTCTTACCGTTCAAAACTGGTAGGTGCGGAGTCAAGTGGTGAGTCATTACGGCGCCGGCTCTTCTTTATGACAGGGAAGAAGTGCTGACCAATGACCCCACCCACTCGGAAATCCCGAACAGTTGTCTTTAAGTCATGCGGCTGCTTAGAGTATAAAGGCTTCCTTCAGGGGTCGAGGATAACGAACACCTTGGTGTAACAATTCTTCCTAGCATACCGATATTCAATATCTTTTCCCATTCCTTTATTCTGGGAACTAGGATTCGCTTAAATCAAAGCAGCGTAGACAGTAATATGTTACAGTCCAAAAGCACAATGGAGCTTCAACCGAAAACCACCAGTTTTTTTTTGCACATCTGATTGGCGTTGTTAAGGTGTGATGTTGCGCGAAACGGTGAAGTAACCCAACGCTGGATGGATATGGCATTATAATTCTTGACGAAATTGACGAGAGAGCTTTATACACTGATGTACTCATAGCACTGCTCAAGGTAAGGGTTGAATATTTCCAGAAGTAGATTCTAGACCTAACGTGATTTGGCGGGACGACGTGGCAGTGCAACCTCAGTCTTGTCCTCTGCAGATTCTGGAGTGTGTCAGGGGGGGGGGTGAGTCCAGCGCAGCCGCAGCCTTCTCTCCGCCGATGGCTGAAGAGGTGAAACGACATAAATTGGTGGAAAACTGGCTGGGTCAAACCCCGCTGACACGCCAGTGACTGTATATTTGCCCTGCACGTAGCGTACAGCATCGTTGGGATCCTATCAGGGCGTCGTATTTGACCTTGAAAGCACTTTTTCTAGTCGCCATGAAGGGAATCTCTCCAGTTTTTGGTTTTTTTTTACATTGCACACTCGTAATACCGCACTCCCTTTCGCTCGACGCACAATCCTTACTATTAGATAGGTGGGATCTGGCAAACTGGTAAATAAGTTGTGAGAGGAGAATAGTATTGGAAGAGAAAATCAAGGGCGAGGGTCGTACTGACCGCCATTCCACTAATCCCGATGCTGTACCCCGCCTGCTGGGTCGGGTCGCGCTGACGTTGGTTCGCTGACACTAAGCACTGATATAAAGTGATATAGGACGACCTTTGCTTATGTGACCCCTCCAAACCGTACTTTTTTCAACTAGCAGGATGATTTTCACTTCAAAACCTGCTTCGTACTGGACTCGTTTAGCCATCGAAGTATTAGAACTCGACCGTTCAATGAAACCGAGTTCACATTTCCGGAAGGTCATGCTCCATCGCTATCCGTTTGGACAGCTGCAATGAAGTGATCGTATTAACAGTTGCAGCGGTCCAATGAATAGCGATGGAGCCCGTTTAGTCTCCAATGACTAGCGTGAGAGAACGTTCACATCTTTATCCCTGAGCCAGAGTAGGCGTGGCATTTGAACATACCACGAAATTGGTTACTCGTGGAATATTCCAGTCTGGGACAACAATCATCTTGTTTTCTGTTGGACGGAGACATAACAACAGTTGCTTCAAGATGAAAATATCCCACCAGAAGCATAGACACCGTCAAGTTGAAACATGCGGCCACGCCTAGCCGATCTCAGGGGTTCCGAGTACATTTGAAGACGTGCTGCCACCAAATCTCCGAGTAGCGAACTATAAACGCGGCCTTTGTCCGTGCACAGCTATCACGTTCAGTTTCAGATGTACGATTGTGGTGAATGTAAGCAATACAATGATTTATTTAGGAACTCATAAATAAGCGAAATGATATTAAAATCGTCATTCTATCTGCAACGCATACCGGGGGGAAGATTCTGCGTCATTTTGAAGACTATCGAACGATAACGATCCGGCCCCGGGCATTTCCCATAAACATCATTGTACGTTTCCATTTCCCATTTTGCTCGAAAGAACAGTCCATACAGTATGAAAATTTTCATTCTATAAAATTTCAGTTCAAAGAAGAACCAGTAGAGAATTTCTTAGAAGCTGCGATCAGAGCTGCCGTGAAGATTCATATATCTGAGGATGTTGGAGGAGACATTTTGCTGTTCCTCACAGATAAAAGAGGTGAGTACTTGTTAGGCATAGTAGTCAGGAATTTCAACCTATAAAAATCCTAGAAAGTTACAGAAGCTGCTGTAGTTGGGAGAAGGGGGGGGGGAAGACAGGGTAGGGCGCAATGGCGCCACAGAGCGATTATTTCCACTCTCAAGACTCGGCCTTGCCACAGCATAGAAGACCAGAGCCCATCGGCTCGAGCCTCGGCGGCTCTGTGCCGGGGACGCGCTATACACATGGCTGGGAGACGCCACTGGGAGGGTGGCACGCGCTGTCGCCAGGTGAAAATTGCTGCGGTATACAATTGCTTCTCAAAATTCCTCCCATTGTGCCACCCCTCCCAGTGGCGTGTCCTAGCCGTGTGTATAGCGCCGTTTAAACAGCAGAAATCAACAACTTAAAAAATTTCTTAAGCCAGCGCTCGCGTTCAAATTTAATGAGTTATGTGGCTCAGGTCAAGTAACAGCCGAGAGGTAGCCAGAAAAGCTTTGGAGGTGAAGAAAAATCAAACAGAAACACGCAAATTCCCTAGAAGGAGCTTTCATACCGAACAAGTTGTACGGTAATTTTTGGGTTGCGAAACATGCACGTCCACCATCTTCATAGGGGGAGGTACTAGATCCAGAGAGGGCGTGAGAACAACAAATGAACGCGGGCGCTGTCTTAAGTAAGTAGCGAACCCCCCCTTCCTCCACGACCAAACACGGCCTCCTGCTCCTGCTGGGGGGGGGGTTCCCCATGTGACGTGCCCTGCTAAGGGTCCAAGAAGGGATCCAGTTTTTTCGAGCCACCGTCTGTTCCCTCCACTTCAACTCACTAGCGCGAAGCTAGCCATATGGTTAAAGATCCTTCTTCCTCTTCTCTCTAACAACGGAACTGATCAAGCTATTTATTCTCGTAGTGTCAGGTAAATCGTGTAAGCGGCGGTTGGCAGAGCCGGTCCGGTTCACTACTCCGGGCGCTCCTGGGTCAGCCGACTGGCGTCTGGCTAGCCTTACAAAAGGGCAGCCCCTCCTCACTGTCCAGCGAGCGCTCTGCCTTGGAATACGGTAAAGAGCGTTGCGGTTGCAGGTGCATACGCGACACAGTGCTCGCCTTCTTCCTCACGCATTCAATTTGGAGATGATTCAGGAAATCGAGGAAGCCTGCAAGCGAATAAGGAGTGATCTCGCAAAGATTGACCAGCCAGCGGGTACACTGGATTGTATCCCACTTTATGCCGGTCTTTCGAAACAAGAGGTGCAGCGGATCTTCAAACCAGAGCCTTCAAACCAACCTGGAGCAACAGGTAAATTGCGCTCTTCCTTCTTATTGTGTATTTTGATAAGTTTGTTTCCTAAAACTTGCACTAATTTTTTTCCACAAAATTGAATCCTAGCGGCGTTTTTGGTTTAGGTCGTAGATGTATCATTGCTACGGACATTGCGGAAACCTCACTGATAATTGACGGTATTGTGTTTGTAATCGATCCAGGATTTGTAAAGCAAAAGGTCTATAATCCAAGTGATCGAACCGAAACGCCATCGGTTCGTCTCATTTCGAAAGCAAATGCTATACTACGGGCTTATCACGCGGGTCGTTCGGCGTCTGGTCAGTTTGGGTTTCGTTATAAATATTTCAAGGTTTGAGATCCTCCCACAGCTTAGAGAGATCAGAGGTCCTTCAACACTATTTGAATGACGAATCCTTTCTGTGCCCGCCTTGATACGCGACACGCGCGCCACAGCCACGCCATACGCCACATTGCCCGCTGCACGCAAATGATGGTCATCCGGCGTGTAGTATGGCGTGAGGTGTGGTTATTGCGTGCGAACAGTGGGCGAGTCATATAGTACATGAAAGTATCTTGGCTATG